CTTTTATATAATTATCTAAGAGGGTGAATTCACGCCATTGCATGTTAATACGATTATCTAAGAGTTTGACTTCACGCCATTGCACATTAATATGATTATAAAGCAAAGTGACTTCACGCCATTACACGTTTATATGATTTTAAAGCAAGGTGACTTCACGCCATTGCACTTTTATATGATTATCTAGGAGGGTGACTTCACGCCATTGCATGTTTATATGATTATCTAAGAGGGTGACTTCACACCATTGCACATTTATATGATAATCTAAAGCAGGGTGACTTCACGCCATTGCACGTTTATATGATTATCTAGGAGGGTGACTTCACGCCATTGCATGTTTATATGATTATCTAGGTGGGTGACTTCACGCCATTGCATGTTTATATGATTATCTAGGAGGGTGACTTCACGCCATTGCACATTTATATGATTATAAAGCAAGGTGACTTCACGCCATTGCACTTTTATATGATTATCTAGGAGGGTGACTTCACGCCATTGCATGTTTATATGATTATCCAGGAGGGTGACTTCACACCATTGCATGTTTATAAGATTATCTAGGATGGTGACTTCGCGCCATTGCATGTTTCTATGATTATCTGGGAGGGTGACTTCGCGCCATTGCATGTTTCTATGATTATCTGGGAGGGTGACTTCACGCCATTGCACATTTATATGATTATAAAGCAGGGTGAATTCACACTATTGCACTTTTATATGATTATCTACGAGGGTGACTTCACGCCATTGCATGTTTATATGATTATCTAGGATGACTTTTTATCTAGTAGGGTGACTTCACGCCATTGCACGTTTATATGATTATCTAGGAGGGTGACTTCACGACATTGCATGTTTATATGATTATCTAGAAGGGTGACTTCACGCCATTGCACGTTTATATGATTATCTAGGAGGGTGACTTCACACCATTGCACATTTATATGATTATAAAGCATGGTGATTTCACGCCATTGCATGTTTATATGATTATCTAGGAGGGTGACTTCACGCCATTGCATGTTTATATGATTATCTAGGAGGGTGACTTCACGCCATTGCATGTTTATATGATTATCTAAGAGGGTGACTTCACGCCATTGCATGTTTATATGATTATAAAGCAAGGTGACTTCACGCCATTGCACTTTTATAGCAGGAGGTGACTTCACGCCATTGCATGTTTATATGATTATCTAGGAGGGTGACTTCACGACATTGCATGTTTATATGATTATCTAGGAGGGTGACTTCACGCCATTGCACATTTATATGATTATAAAGCAGGGTGACTTCACGCCATTCCATGTTTATATGATTTTCTAGGAGGGTAACTTCACGCCATTGCACATTTAAATGATTATAAAGCAAGGTGACTTCACGCCATTGCACTTTTATATGATTATCTAGGAGGGTGACTTCACGCCATTGCATGTTCATATGGCTATCTAGGAGGGTGACTTATCTAGGAGGGTGACTTTACACCATTGCACGTTTATATGATTATCTAGGAGGGTGACTTTACGACATTGCATGTTTATATGATTATCTAGGAGGGTGACTTCATGATATTCCACGTTTATATGATTATCTAAGAGGGTGACTTCACACCATTGCACATTTATATGATTATAAAGCAGGGTGACTTCACGCCATTGCATGTTTATATGATTATCTAGGAGGGTGACTTCATGCCATTGCACATTAATATGATTATAAAGCAAGGTAACTTCACGCCATTGTATGTTTTATGATTATTTAAGAGGGTGACTTCAAACCATTGCACATTTATATGATTATAAAGCAAGGTGACTTCACGCCATTGCACTTTTATATGATTATCAAGGAGGGTGACTTCACGCCATTGCATGTTTATATGATTATCCAGGAGGGTGACTTCACGCCATTGCATGTTTATATGATTATCTAGGAGGGTGACTTCACGACATTGCACATTTATATGATTATCTAGGAGGGTGACTTCACGCCATTGCATGTTTATATGATTATCTAGGAGGGTGACTTCACGCCATTGCACATTTATATGATTATCTAGCAAGGTGACTTCACGCCATTGCACTTTTATATGATTATCTAGGAGGGTGACTTCACGCCATTGCATGTTCATATGGCTATCTAGGAGGGTGACTTATCTCGGAGGGTGACTTATCTCGGAGGGTGACTTTTTACACCATTGCACGTTTATATGATTATCTAGGAGGGTGACTTCACGCCATTGCACGTTTATATGATTATCTAGGATGGTGACTTCACGCCATTGCACATTTATATGATTATAAAGCAAGGTGACTTCACGCCATTGCACTTTTATATGAATATCTAGGAGGGTGACTTCACGCCATTGCACGTTTATATGATTTACTAACAGGGTGACTTCACGCCATTGCACGTTTATATGATTTACTAACAGGGTGACTTCACGCCATTGTATGTTTTTATGATTATCTAGGAGGGTGACTTCACGCCATTGCACATTTATATGATTATAAAGCAAGGTCACTTCATGCAATTGTACTATTATATGATTATCTATGAGGGTGACTTCACGCCATTGCACATTAATATGATTATAAAGCAAGGTGACTTCACGACATTGCACTTTTATATGATTATCTAGGAGGGTGACTTCACGCCATTGCACTTTTATATGATTATCTAGTAGGGTGACTTCACGCCATTGCACATTTATATGATTATAAAGCAAGGTGACTTCACGCCATTGCACTTTATATAATTATCAAGGAAGGTGACTTCACGCCATTGCTTGTTAATATGATTATCTAGGACGCCATTGCACATTAATATGATTATAAAGCAAAGTGACTTTACGCCATTGCACTTTTATATGATTATCTAACAGGGTGACTTCACACCATTGCACATTTATATGATTATAAAGCAGGGTGACTTCACGCCATTGCATGTTTATATGATTATCTAGGAGGGCGACTTCATGCCATTGCATGTTAATACGATTATCTAGGAGGGTGACTTCACGCCATTGCACATTAATATGATTATAAAGCAAGGTAACTTCACGCCATTGTATGTTTATATGATTATTTAAGAGGGTGACTTCAAACCATTGCACATTTATATGATTATAAACCAAGGTGACTTCACGCCATTGCACTTTTAAATGATTATCTAGGAGGGTGACTTCACGCCATTGCATGTTTATATGATTATCCAGGAGGGTGACTTCACGCCATTGCATGTTTCTATGATTATCTAAGAGGGTGACTTCACGCCATTGCACATTTATATGATTATAAAGCAGGGTGACTTCACGCCATTGCATGTTTATATGATTATCTAGGAGGGTGACTTCATGCCATTGCATGTTAATACGATTATCTAGGAGGGTGACTTCACGCCATTGCACATTAATATGATTATAAAGCAAGGTAACTTCACGCCATTGTATGTTTATATGATTATTTAAGAGGGTGACTTCAAACCATTGTACATTTATATGATTATAAAGCAAGGTGACCTCAGACCATTGCAATTTTATATGATTATCTAGGAGGGTGACTTCACGTCAATATTAGTAATAATTTTTTCTAAATGCTTTACATGCAAGTTTCCTGAAATAAAATGCACCCTTCTATATCTCGTAGAAAAACTTGCAGGTAAATAAATTCTGTTTTATATGTAAGTACATGTTGACCTTCATGTTAACCTATTAATGACTTTCATATCAATTAGATGATAGTCATTTGCCCCCCGTCCCTGAAAAATCACTGAGTTATATAACAATAGCATTTATTAAACATATCCATGAATTTATAATGAATATTGAAGACACAGACACAGGTTATGTTATGGTTTTTTTTTATAACGTAATGAAAGCGACCTTTTGACCACAGCATCATCAAAATTAGTTATCAATGATATGCATTTAAAGAAATCAAAGCCTTTATTTTTTCTGCATATTATGAAATAGTTCTCATTTGCCATTTCATGAATATATGAAAATAAAGAGATTTATGATACTCATTCATTTTGCATCATAATATTAAAGACAAAAATAATGAAAAAAATATCAACGATGTTTCAAAAGTATCCATTGAGTTGAATTTGACTGTGAAAGTTATTGCTAATGTAAAGATCACATTTTTTGCATAGATTATAGCATTGATAGAATTTCTTGCATTCAAAAATACAATCACATGTCATTTAGACTTCTATATATTAAGGTTTCAATTTATCTGCGTAGAACAGTTATTAATTCCACTCGATGGCATTAAAAAGGTGTTAACATAAGTTCAGAAGGAACAAATACTTTGGCTTTACTTAACAACCGCTGCTAATTCAATTAACATCACCAGTTTATAGACAAAATTCAATTGTAAAAAAAAAAAATTAACAATATGTACTGAGCAAAATATGATGATACAATGTTATATATTGCAATATCAGATTTATTTAATCTACAGTAAGCTTAACGAAAAAGTCTGTAATTCATTTTATGCATGGATTTTATAAAACTTATTGTTTTATAACCTATTCCTAAGTTATTGTCTTACTGTCGTAACAAATACACTTCAGATTTAAACTTTTAATGACTGTGAAATCAACTTGTTAAATAAGGTTGTCTACGTATAATGTTATATTCATCTAAGACGTGCTATTTCCATATTGATTATATAATTATTGATAAATTTTAATTCCAAACAGTGATTAATATAACCTATAATAATCAAATTACCAACTGTTTTACATTAGAAAATATGCCTGTATGATACTTATTGGTTTCCATACGTCACATTCCCTAAATATCGATACTAAATTATAAATTGATACATTAATACATCCCTAACAACGTTTCTCAATTACCATTTTAGTTAACATAACTTTGAAATTTAATGCAGAGGTAAAAATAACTAATATACATAAATGAAGAAATTTATGGAAATTCTTGCATCCAAATGAAACACTGATACCCCGTCTGATAACTTGATAAAAAAAATTATGGAATACAAATCAAGTATGTTGGTATCAAAATAAGGCCTTCACAGATTAATTGACTGATTAATCGTCGTTTATAGGTGCATAAAAATACAATCACATATTCTTTCTACATCTTCTTGTTTAAATTTTTCTGTGAAGAAGAGATGTTAAGTCTACCCCATGGCATTTAAAATGTGCCAAATGTTCCTGTGTTAACTTGAGGTCCGGTGGAACACAGATTGATGATTTGGTGAATAACGGGTTTCTAGCCTGAATGCAGTTAGCCGAGACATGATAGTATTTGTTGTTAAATACCTCACGCATTCGCCCTTCCTTTCTGTCAAAGAAACTGTCCATCTCCCTGTGGCGTATGCCTATATCTTTTGGACATCTTAACGGCTTCTCAAATCTCTCCCTGCATCCGGCACATAATTTGACCAGATTAGATAATTTACAAACAACAAAAGGTTCCCTTGTTAATTCTGTACTAACTTTTTGTTCGTGTTGCAACAAGTTATCTTTTCTTCCATGAGAGTCATCCTGATTGGTTTTCTTTTTTTTCATGGGAGGTTCCCGCGCTTGTGAGGTGCAAGGTTGGGTATCGAGTCCGCGACAAGTCTTACAGATGAAATAAAAAGAGTCATCACTGGCTTCATCGTATGATCTTGATACGTCAGCACATTGAAAATGGTGCCACCACTGGCAAGAGTTGCATTGTATCTAATAGAATGAAACATATGAAGATTACAAACAGTATTAAAGATCAAAAGTCCATAAAACAATACAAAATAGGAGCAGAGCAATTAAACAGGGATCATCGGCTGTGGTATTACGTGCTATGGAGGAGTGAGTATCCTCTGTTGACCGGTCATACCTGCCGTGTGCTCCTTGTCCTAATCCGGAAATAACGAGAAATTCCATCTTCAATTCAGTGTATGATTAATGGACTATATATTAGTATGATTAATTGTATTTGCTGACAAGCTCATCGTATTGTATGTAGAACTTGCGAAATGATGACTTAAACGAGAGGGTTGAAATTCTTGTTTCATCAACTTGTTTGTCAATGATATACCTCTTATTAGAAATTGTTCATACATAGAACAAGTTCTTGCGTATCGAATTAACTGGCATATATCAATTCTGTATGCAGGTGATGAAGGTATATTGCTGCAATAATTTGACAAATGAAAATTTAAAGTCATCATGTGTATCATGAAGCTTGGTGGATATATTTCCATTAGCATCGTTTTCAAGTAAAATATCAAAATATGAAACATATGTTTCAGACTCTGTGGTATCTTTTGCCTAAAGCTCACCAGAATATATCGTATCGACATAAGAATGGAAATTATTATTGTTAATTGACAATGCATCGTCCATATATCTAAATGTACAGTTGAATGCCACTGCAATCGTTTTTTTCTTTTCACGCTTAGGATTTTGCACAAATTGTGCTTTATATGAATACAAAAAATAGGTGTGCTTATAACGGGGCGCAATCGATGGAATACCTTGAGAAACTCAAGCGTCAAGCATCTGTCAATTTCATAGTACTTGTGAGCAATCAGAGTGCTTTTAACAAAGTAATTATGTAAATGACCAATGACAATTGAAGTAAATTTACGAGTTCCATTTTTATTGAAAAAAGAAGATGTCAGTGATATAAAAAGCCTGAACTTTAATTTATCTTTGAGAAGGATTGAATATAAAGTGAAAAAGTTGTACATTTTAAAGCCTTTCATTTTGGTAATACCGTATAAGTGGACATTTTGAAATACCGTATAAAGGGACATTTTAGCGAGAGGCTAGATGTAGTTAAAGACTGGTATTTTAATTCAAACTCCTCAATAAAGAAGCTATTACAAATAAAACACAAATTTTAAGCGATATTCAATTTAAGCGAACTGAGCATCCTCGCTTATAATGCCGAAAATAAATCCTCGTTCAAAATTCTGCTTATATGGTATTGTGATTTCAATTGTCTAAAACTTTCTTTGAATTATAAACTTAAACGATAATTAACAAATATTTCTATATTGTTAAAAACGTTTACATTTAAATAACGTGTTATTTATCTTGGAATGGGATGATTTAATTATAATTTACCCATTTGTGCTGCAATCTGTAATTCTGGCCACAGGAACGGCAATTATTTGTCACATTCCCTACAGACAGTAGAATTAACAAATAAAATTTAATTTCTATTCAATTTTATTCTTGAAAATAGTGGATAGCAAAACATGGATAAATGTTATGTTATATAAATGAAGACTTCTATAATTTACCAACCACAACTTCCTAATAAAATTGCAGCAATGTCTTTTCGGATTGTGTCCACATGTCTACTGTTAAAAAATAGTGGCTTTCCTTGTATGAGCAATTCAGCAAACTATAAAAAATTGTTAAGAAATAATTAAATTAAATTTATTGCAAAATGTATATCATATTAAGCCTCAAATTAAAATTGAATATGAAAGAATGTAATTTGAATCATTTCAAATGATTCATTTCATGCTTCTTCTAGCTGAGTTAATTTTCATAAGAAAGAAATGTAAGAGAATTGTCAATATATATACTGTATGAGAATTGAAATATTCAGGTTTTTTTTAATTGTGCCTTTGACAACATCGTTCAACTTGTTCGACGGAGTTATAGTATAACAAAATAATGCTTTTGTTTTCTGAAATGTTACAAACCTTCATGATAAAAACTCCACAACTGACAGAGTCCATTTGTTTGCTGTGCTGAATGGTCTCTAGCTTCCATTTGCTTGGTCCAGTAGATTCCAAACCCGCAGAAAAACGCCGGTTAATGAACGTCTTCCATGATCGTAATATATTACATCCCTTCTTTGTAAGTTCTCCCAGCGGATCTATATACTTTATAGTCTTCTCCTTTGGCATGACCACAAACATCTCCCAATGGCCATTGTTGTTGTATGGGCAAAAGATTTGTTCATATGCATCCAGAGATAGCTGTTCAATATATATATATATATATATATATATATATATATATATATATATATATATATATATATATATATATATATATATATATATATATATATATATATATATAGTTTGTTTGTGTGTGAGGGAGGGTATGGGTGTGGGTGTATGAGGGGGTGTCAGGTAGGGTGTGTGTTTAAAATTATTTGGTTTTTTAAATATTAATTACATATTTGTTTCTGTTATACTAAATTTATTTAAATTGAAATGAAAAAAATATATTGAGAAATGGTAATTTACCGATGTCATCAGAGCACAAACACTAGGTTGAAGTAATAATTTCCCTGCTACAACACAGCTGATGTATGACACATTGTGGTTACCTGCATCTATCAGGGATTGCAAGTAGGCATCAATTATCTAGAAATCAGAGTCTAGGTTAAGTATATTTTGCTGTTACTAATATATGTATATATATATATATATATATATATATATATATATATATATATATATATATATATATATATATATATATATATATATATATATATATATATATATATATATGATATTTAAATGTTCATATAAATTCATGTTATACATGTATAATATAGTACCTCATCTGTAACCTCCATTCCACTTCTGAGAGAATCAAAGGATGTTCCATATAATTTATATGGCCCGACTATTGCCATTAATGATGGCGATCCCCGATGATTTTTCCAGATTTCTTCGATGTCGGGTATTATAGGGTCCTTTAAAATGTATTAAGTAGTCAAACGATATGCAATTATATCCCATTTAAAATTTCTGCATCTATTAAACCAATACTTTGATATTTTTACATCGAATAAAAAATGCAAAAATGTTAACAATATCTAGAAATGAATTATTCTTATTTGTTTAGAAAAAATTAAATGATTTAATCATATTCCTATCAATGAAATTCAAATAATGTCACACATACTAATTTATTATCTATTTTGTTATGTACCTGGTATGCGATTTCAGCTTTTCTTTTGTGCTTTCCTGAATTTTGCTTCAAAAATATCAATGAAAATAAAATATTGTTGGGTAATATATGACATGAAAACCAGTCTACAAACACCTTTAAATTCTTTATAAATTCTTTATAAAAAGTATCCATATAAATAAACAAGAAAGAATTCTTAGGGTTTCATTGAAGATTATGCTTCTTGACAAAACATTTTTTTTTACCAAATCCAATTTTTTTTTACCAAATTACCAAATGTGTCAAAATGCTAAGCTGTTTAACAGAAAAAAATTCACTTCAAGATGAGTAGAGGCGACTATTTATTCTTCAAATGGTTAACTTATATTAACATTATATCTTGAGCACGTTTATGATGAATTTCATGGAAGAGCAAGATGTAAAAATATTGCTTATAAAACATGAAATTTTTATTGAATCTGAAATTTTATTCACATACTTAAAATAAACATGCTAAACCTGGGGTTTCATTGTAGCTTCTTCTTTATGACAATCCTGAAATATATATTTATATATCCAAAATAAAAATAATGTCTGAGGATTTTTGTGTTTTCTTTTTCTTTTTTTTTAAATATATATATTTTCAAAAGATTTTCGTTATGCATTGTTTGTGATATGTATACACATTCTAATTTGCCTATATATATATATATACCTCAACCTCCTGCAAAACTTCCTCAGGTACAATCTCTTCTTTGTCCTTACATACAGTCTGTTAAGAAAGTAAGAGATAAAAATATTCATAAATGCTTGATATTTTAGTCTTGAATGAGATTTTTTTTTTTCAATGTATTGAACTATTTAGTGACTAGTTTTCCTTTTATCCAAATTGATAAAATTTGCCGAATATTAAACTTTTATTCTTAACAATACCATTTCAACATTATTAATGACAGGTATGTATCTATAAAATGATAGAATTATATGAACATAAAAACCTCAGTTTCCTTATAAGATGAAAGCTTAATTTTTCTTTTTGGTTTGTAATTCTTGACAGAATCTGGAATCTCATCCTCAGATAATTTGTTTTCTCTTACTTTCATTCGCAAGAGATGTGGATTATAAGGATTTATCTCCACATAATCAGGTAATGGTATCTAAAATGCATGAACAGTAATGAAATCTCATGGAAAGAAAAATGGAAATTAAAACAAATTTCAGTTTAACACTTCAATATACATTTAACATTCAGCGTAAAATACAAAAAGCATAAGTAGATTTGGACGAAGTGTCCCCAAGGTGATGAAATTTCGTTGTAGTATGAATTCGTACCTGAAACGATGGGTTAAATGGCACTTTCTCAAAAAAGGTATTGAGCTCTCGTTCAGTGATAGGTGAATACGATTCCTGTTAAAATATACATTCTTAAAATATACCTTGTTGAATGATTAAACAAATGTTGTTTTTTTTTTAGATCAATTCCATGATTTAGACACCTGAGGGGTACAATATTCATTGAGCCCGAAGGTCGAAGTTAATATTGTACTTCAAAGGTGACCAAATCATCCTATTGATTGAAAAACACAACAATAGCTTTATTTATTATATGATAAAATACAAGCAAACTCATACAAGACTCTTTAATGTGCTTTAATTGAAAGTTTTAAGGAGAATGAATTTTATACAAAAACACATTTTAACATGAGAAATAGAACAGGAATAATTCCGTATATTAACTTGCAATAATTCCTTATTATGACTTATATGATATCATCAATCAATATTGCAATAGGTTCCAATAAAATATATAATGCACAGAGTAATTTCAAAAAAGTAATGAAATTACTAAGGTGTAAATTTCTAGACGAAAAAAGGTATTTTTCGCCATCATAAATATTTATGTATTACTTTCCGTTCATTTTAATGTCTAATACACGTGCTGATGATTTAATTATAGGCATTGAAGTTGTACAAAGTAATTGGATTCGTATTTTTAAAAAATCCGACAAAAAATTCGCAATTCTTTCAAAAGTGTGCAAGACTAGGAACCAGTATCATATTTACAAGTGTAGTCTTTAAAGAAATCAATACATTTTAATGAAACCTCGTGTCTTGAGTTTAAAGAATGACGTTTTCTTAGTGAATCATAGCCAGGTCCCCTCTACATGTTTTCATCAATCAATCCTATGGGCAATTTAAATATTTATGGTAGCAAATATTACAAAAATCATAAGAGATAGGTCATATTTAGTCCAAAAGGCAACTGTTTTTGGTTCTTACCAAATGTAGAATTTAATTAAATCATTTTTAATTGAAACCAAAATTTATTTGGTATGGTTAAAAACATACTATGTCAGATTCCATGGCTTCATCAAATTGCATTGTTAGTTCGTAGGTGTCAAATGGATTCTGCAAAAAATAATATACAGGTAAATGACTGGTGATGAATTCTTATTCTTACACTTTTGTCTTCCTGCTTATATTATTTAATGGCGCCGTGTTTCTGGGTAGGATTTCAAATTTAATTTTACATTTTCAATATTTTGCAATTGTCGCCTCTGAAACAGAACCTGGCTCTCAGCTTTCAATGCATTCTTATAAACAAACTGTTGAAGTGTTTACAGATTATTGACAATATTGATAGGAAGGCATATAATGAGAGACTGAAGAAGCCAGCCAATCTATGAAAGGCAAACTACTTAAAATAAATAATACAAACTTATTTTCATATAACAAAATATTGTTATAAATTTATTTTCAAGTTGGTAACCTGAATAATGCTTGCCAGATCAATTTTCATAATTTTATGATATTTTGTAAAATAAATGGAAAAAAGAAGTGTTATAAAAAAAAAGAAGAACATATTAATTTGTGATATGCATGCACATTATATCGGGGTAATTTGCAATTTTCTATAGATTTGAATTGACATTATGTCTGTGAAGAAAGTAGGAAATAAAAATTTCAATCATGCTTGATGTTTTAGTCTTGAATGGGAAATTGGGTTTCAATATGCAAATTAGTTTGTGATATTTATTATGCGAATCTCTATATATACTTACATCAGTCTTTTGTAAACCTTCCTTAGGTGTAATCTCTTCTTTGTCCTTACAAAATCTCTGTTTCGAAAGTAATAAATATACATTTCATACATGCTTATTATTATTGTCTTGAATGTTGATATGTATTTGAGTAAGGAAATTAGTTTGTGATATGTATGCACATTATCATAAACATATCTCTAAATATAAACCTCAGCCTCCTGCAAACCTTCCTTAAGCGTAATCTCTTCTTCATCCATACACACTGTCTGTTGAGAAAGGAAGAAATATACATTTTCATAGATGATTATTATTTTTAAAGTCTTGAAAGTAAATATGTATTTCAGATTGGAAATTTGCATATCTCGCTCTATACATATATACCTCAGCCTCTTGTAAACCTTCCTTAGGCGTAATCTCTTCTACGTCCATACACACTGTCTGTTTAGAAAGTAAGAAGTATACATTTTCATGAATGCTTAATTGAATAGTCCTAAATAGAAAAAATGTGTTTCAATATTCAAATTAGTCTGTGATATGTATGTACATTATCATAAACATATCTTTTAATATATATACCTCAGCCTCCTGCAAACCTTCCTTAGGCGTAATCTCTTCTTTGTCCATACAAACTGTCTGCTGAGAAAGTAATAAATATACATTTTTATGAATGCTTAATGGAATAGTCCTTAATAGAAAAAATGTGTTTCAATATTCAAATTAGTCTGTGATATGTATGCACATTATCATTAACATGTCTCTAAATATATACCTCAGCCTCCTGCAAACCTTCCTTAGGCGTAATCTCTTCTTCATCCATACACACTGTCTGTTTAGAAAGTAAGAAGTATACATTTTCATGAATGCTTAATGGAATAGTCCTAAATAGAAAAAATGTGTTTCAATATTCAAATTAGTCTGTGATATGTATGTACATTATCATAAACATATCTTTTAATATATATACCTCAGCCTCCTGCAAACCTTCCTTAGGCGTAATCTTTTCTTTGTCCATACACACTGTCTGTTGAGAAAGTAATAAATATACATTTTCATAAATGATTATTATTATTATTGTCTTGAAAGTAAATATGTATTTCAGATTAAAAATTTGCATATCTCGCTCTATACATATATACCTCAGCCTCTTGTAAACCTTCCTTAGGCGTAATCTCTTCTTTGTCCATACAAACTGTCTGTAAGAAAAATACATTCTCATAAATAATAAATGGAATAGTTTTAAAAGGAAAAATGTGTTTAAATACATGTATTCAAATTAGTTTGTGATATGTATGCACATTATATATATATATATATATATATATATATATATATATATATATATATATATATATATATATATATATATATATATATATATATATATACCTCCGCCTTCTGCAAACTTTCTTTAAGTGCAATCCTTTCTTTGTCCATACAAAATGTCTGTTGAGAAAGTAAGAAATATACATTTTCATAAATGCTTATTATTATTGTCTTGAATGTTGATATGTATTTCAGTTTGGAAATTCCCATATCTTTCTCTATACATATATACCTCAGCCTCTTGTAAACCTTTCTTTGATGCTAATTCTTCTTTGTCCTTACAGATTGTCTGTTGAGAAAGAAAGAAATATACATTTTCATAAATGCTTATTATTATTGTCTTGAATGTTGATGTCTATTTCAACATGCAAATTAGTTTGTGATATGTATGCACATTAACATATGCATCTCTCTCTATCTATATAAATACCTCAGACTCCTGCAAACCTTCCATAGGTGCAATCTTTTCTTTGTCCTTACATATTGTCTATTGAGAAAGTCAGAAATATACATTTTTATAGATACTAAATATAAGAGTCATGAATGGGAATATTTGATTGTTTGTGATATAAGTGCAATCATTATATGCAAAAAGCATAGAAGTGTTTTCATTCAAAAATGATAACAGTAAAGAAAATGTAGAAATTAAAAAGAAGAAAAGAAAGGAAATTTTTGTATGCATAAAAGCAATTCCTAATACATGTATAATTTTCAAATCTATGTTAATAGGCGTACCTCAGCCGCTTGCACGCATTCTTCGATTAAAATCTCTTCATCTTCTTCACAAAATGTCTTTTAAAATAAAAGGAAAGTAACTTTGTTTTAAAATTCTATAATTCAAAATGAATTGTATATACATATATTTTGATGAACAGTGCTTATTCTGATGAATGTTCACACTTCACATTCAATTTTAATGCATAATATTTACTGTAAACATCGCATATTGTTACACATAACCTCATAAATGATTTTTATATAGATTTGGTATTTATGAAGGAATAAAAACTATTGAAACCACCTATCATCATAACAATTATATTAAGTTTTCATATGTTGGTCTTGTAAGCTTGTAAGCAATATGATTATACCATCTGTACTTCCTTGAAAGCTTTGTCTTCCTCTCCAGTAAAATGACTCTCAACAATACCCTGTCAATATGATTGCAAAAATTGTAAAACAGAAATAGATGTTATATCAAAATACATGATACATCACTATAATGCTTGAGTTAATAACGGACATATAGGTCATCACATTTCTTAAAATCATTAGTTTACCTCTCGTTTGGATTCTCTACGTAGATTTCTCTTCGAAATTGAATGTACTAAAATAGATTTAACAGTAGCAACATTAAAAGAAAGAACATTTTTTCCTCATTATCATGAAATAAATGAAGTTGTAAAAAATTGAATTCCCCTTCACAATTTTGAAAACAGAGTTTCTTTAAGGATTACTGTCCTCATGGAAATCCTTTTATTTATTTTATTTTTGTTAGACACCTATCGGTGAGACCAGAGGAACCCTAAGTTTCCTGTCTGCTTTTCTGTTTATCTGTCAGCCTGTTTATTTGTGTGTCGTTCTATCCGTCTGTCACTATACCTCATTTGGTTTGTCGCAATTTTCATCATTTTTGTTTTACAGATGTCCTTAACACTGAGTTGATTTTTGCTTTTTGGATTTGCCTTTTGGGAAAGTAGAGTCTATTATTGGAAAACTATTTTTAAAATTTGTATTTGATTGAAACTAAACTTGAAGTTGGAAATTTATTTCAATCCAAATAATTTTTTCGTATCTATTTCGGAAAAATAGAATTGAATCTTCTGCTTTGACATATAGATTTATTGCGGACGTATAGGAGAACCTACGAATTGATTTATATTCTCTCAGACGTCCGCGTCAAATTAATGGCAGACAATCAAAAAACAACGTTCTTTAGGATTTCTATAACCCATTTAGTTTTGGATCAAATGGCGTTTATACTGTAATGAACTTATATAATGTGAACATCAAGTTTCCAATATTTCACCTATCATTCTGTGACTTATTACTAATTTTTCCATGTTGCAGCTTTTTAACAGTACCGGTGTGTGTAGAAAATGATTTAGAGTTTTTTTTGTGTGTCCCTGGAACTAACACCTAAATACACTCATCTCATGAATAAATAACACACGATGGAATACATATTTTGTTGTAAGGTTTTCTAATCACTGAGAAGAAAAAGAAGATTTTATTCTTGCTATGGCAACATGTTTCTATCAATACTCTCCTTAAACATTCATTGAAGTACATGAATTGTTTGAATAGTTTCCATTATTCAGACTCACCTTTCCTTCTATTCTGTAATCGACGCCTGTTCTTTACTTTCGTCTTGAGAAAGGAAGATGGCACTTGGAGTTTTCCATTGTTTCCACTTCGACTTTTCATTTTCGAAAAGGAAGACGGAAAACCATACTTCCTCTCCAAAGTGGAATATATTTCAGTGACACGTACATTGCACTCTTTGATGGCTTCCTCACTGTTTGTATTGTTAATAAAATTCTTTAATTTATTTAACGATGCATTTGTTTTCCTGAGTGCAAGAGATGGAATTTCTTCGGTCGCAATAAACACATCACTACAATTATTGTCGTCTTCATCTCTTGCTTTTTTCTGCTTCACATATGAAGCAGAAGCCAAAGCTTCAACATCTTTGTTGTTTATCCAGTCCAAGAATCTTTGATTAATGTTAAAGTATTTAGAATTCATGTAATGATTGCAAACATCTGATGATGATTTATACATCGTAAAAACAGCCAACACGTGTTTACATGGCATAAAATGTTTCTGAAAGTCAAAACATTCACAGTGTGGGGCTGTTAAATCCACAGCATAAGTCTTGGAGGGATCAGATGAGGAGGTGACATTGAACAGTGATTCAGAAATCCTTCGAACCATTGAAGGGTCGATTAGAGTGGCATCTGCGAGTCTAGACAAACAATGCTCCATAAATGGAGGTGTCTTTTCTATCAGAAATCGAGGTACTGAATCATTATATACCTTGGATGTTTTCAAAGGCTGTACGTTTTTGGTCACATATCTAAAAAAATCGTTTTAAAATTAATGGTAGAAATTCATTTTAACTGAATTTTTATTCCCCCTTTCGTAGAAGGGAGGGCATATTGCTTTGCTGCTGCCTGTAGTTCTGTTGGTCGGTCGGTCTGTCAGTCGGTCCACTTAATTTCCGTTCATTTTCTTCACAACCTTGGCACATACTAAAATGAAATTTGGTATACAGATATATCACATGAATATCTAGATCAAGTTTTGATTTGCATACGTTCGCGCCATTTTTGATAGACTTATGTCCCTTGGACTTAGGAAATTCCAAATATTTGCAGTTTCCTTTCATTTTCTTGTAAGAGTTTGCACATACTGCAATGAAATTTAGTATACAGATATATCAGATGAATAACTAGGTCAAGCTCTGTTTTGGGTACGTTCGCGCCATTTTTAACATAGTTTTGCCCTTTTTGGATTTTGAAAAATTTCAATTAGTGGGAATGGGGCATAAGTGTTTTACAAAAATCTCTTGTTGATGTAGAGAACAGTTATCAAGCTCAAAACGTAAGTATCAGTAATATAAATACTAGTAGGGAGCAGGGCAACAAGGACCTCCAAAAACACAAGAGGCGGCCGGATCAAATGCCAATCAGGATTAAGCATACCAGAGCGACAGATAACACCCGCCGTGTGCTCCTTGTCATGATTAGGACAATGTAAAAAATTGTTGACTTTTCAGGGTGAAATTAATGAAGTATTTTTATTTCAATTGCATAAAAAGACGACAGAGTATTTGATTTAACAATAGATTGTATTAACTGGTACTGACAATATCTAACATATTACTCCGAACTTATGACTTTAAAAATGACTTTTTATATCCAGTTTTGATTCATTTGTGTGTCAATAGCTTGCCACATTTTAAATATTGTTTGCATGCTTAAGGAAATCAAATATAGTGATAGAAATAAACAATATATGCGGGTGAAAAGTGTATACTGCTACAAAAGTCAGTGAAATTAGTGATAGAAATCTGTTGTCATAAAGCATTTCATAAGATTTGTATTGTAAGATAAGTATTTAAGTTTTCTTTTAGTAATATATCATATGAAACAGATGTGTCTCTGGCTTTGTACTTTAAAAAAAAAATTATCCACATCGTGAAGGGTCGCGCTATTTTTGACAGAGTTACTATAGTATGCCCCTTGGACGTAGAAAAATTCCAATTATTTGCAGTTTCTGTTCATTTTCTTCCCAGAGGTTGCACATACTGGTTTAAGTTTACAGTTATATCAGATGAATATCTAGGTTAAGTTCTGTTTTTGGTACGGTTTAGCCATTTTTTACAGAATTGCACCCCTTGTACTTTTAAAAATTCCAATTATTTACAGTTTCCGAGTTTGCACATACTGCAATGAAATTTAGTATACAGAGATATCAGATGAATATCTAGGTCAAGTTCTGTTTTGGGTACGTTCGCGCCATTTTTGACAGAGTTATGCCCCTTGGACTTAGAAAATTCCAATTATTTGCAGATTCCGTTCATTTTCTTCGCAGAGGTTGCACAAACTGCAATGAAATTTAGTACACTGATATATCAGATGAATAACTAGATCAAGTTTTGTTTTGGGTACGGTCGCGCCATAGTGAAATTGGTGAAAGAAAGTTGTTGTCATAAAGCATTTCATAAGATTTGTATTGTTATAGTTTAGCATTTACGTTTTCTTTTAGTAATATATCATATATGAAACAGATGTATCTCTGGCATTGTACCCTTTTTAAAAAAATATAATCCGCATCATGAACATGATAATAATTATCAATTTACCTCTTCAGCATTTCCTCAAAATAATTCTTTATGAGAACATCAACAAGACTTTGTACGGTCCTGCAACCGTTGGTGTTTAATATGGCTTTCAAAATCCGGTGGTGGACTTCGACCCCATTTGTTGTTGACACGACAATATCTTCATCAAGAGGCCTGAAGGCTCTCACCCATTTCTACAAAAATTGCAAAGATTACATAGATTAAATACATTTGTGTGCAGCATGAATAACATAAACAACTTAATAATATATATTAACTTAACTGATAAAATTTAAATTGTTACCTTAGCAATGCTCAGCCAGGAATTGTTGATGTAATTTTGAAAATGTTCATTTTCGTTCCACATATTTGTATCCATTAAGTTTTGTACGTTATTGTGATAATCATCCTTAGTAGCAGAATCTGCTATACTTTTCAGACTGTTGAAAAAAAATATATATATATACACATTTAAAAATATAATTTATACATCATATATATCAGTGTAGGATTACTTACTAACTTATATAATGCAAGATACCATCAGGCTGTATGCATAAATACTTGCAATCCAGCAGAATAATAGATGTTCACTAAATTGTGTATTGTATTTTTAAATATTTTACGCACTGTTCCAAAACTGCGTCCTTTTCACCTGTCAGTTTATTTTCACCTCTTGATAGCCATCTCTTCCAAGCCTGGATGATGTGGAATTTACACAGAAATTGAGAGCAGTCTAAAAATACATAAATATCTACAGAAATTATTGATGAATATCTATATTAGTGCTTTTTATGCTTCCTCTTCATTATATATATATAGAGAGAGAGAGAGAGAGAGAGAGAGAGAGAGAGAGAGAGAGAGAGAGAGAGAAAGAGAGAGGTAAAAAGAAAACACAAAAATCCTCAGTTAAGTTTAAGCGCTTTCATTTTCAATCTTCAGAAGCTTACAATAGTATCATAGTTACAGTGATTATGACGTCATGTTAAGCGAAACGTTAAATGTCTATTATGACGTCATAGATACAATATGACAAAAGTACGGGAAAATCACAAGTAATTTATAAAACACTATTAAGTTTTGGCTGAAAAATGCTAATAAAATGTTTTTCTTTTTCCCGTCTCTGGATATCAGTCGCACAACTGAGTCTATAGAAAGGGAAAATTTTCAATTGTTTTTTACCACACGCCTCCAGGTGCGAACTTAATTTAATTTTTCTGTATTCGGGTGTAATAATGTGTTGCTTATGTATACGTACACGGGCAGGGAGAGTGTTGCCAGTTTCACAAATATAATATTCCTTGCATCCAGGACATGTGATGACATAAAGACATTTAACGTTCCGCTTAACATGACGTCATAATCACTGTTACTATGATACTATTGTAAGCTTCTGAAGATTGAGACATTTAACTTTCCGCTTAACATGACGTCATAATCACTTTAACTATCACTGTAACTATGATACTATTGTAAGCTTCTGAAGATTGAAAATGAAAGCGCTAAAGCTTAACTGAGGATTTTTGTGTTTTCTTTTTACCTTTTTTTAAATATTGTTATCCGATTACTGAGACATTATTGAAATTTAAATATATATATATATATATATATATATATATATATATATATATATATATATATATATATATATATATATATATATATATATATATATATATATATATATATATATATATATATATATATATATATATATATATATATATATATATACATATCTTTTCCAAACTCTGGATTATTTTTCTATATATATATATATATATATATATATATATATATATATATATATATATATATATATATATATATATATATATATATATATATATATATATATATATATTTATATATATATTTATATATATATACATATCTTTTCCAAACTCTGGATTATTTTTATATATATATATATATATATATATATATATATATATATATATATATATATATATATATATATATATATATATATATATATATATATATATATATATATATATATATATATATATATATATATATACTTTTCCAAACTCTGGATTATTTTTCTATATATATATATATATATATATATATATATATATATATATATATATATATATATATATATATATATATATATATATATATATATATATATATATATAGAAAAATAATCCAGAGTTTGGAAAAGATGATCACATTTTATTCCATAGCGCTTTCGCCATTCGGCTCTTCAGTAGCGAACATTTTGAACAATGCGGTAAAGGACGTTTCAGTATCTTTCCGTTTTATAAAGTTACCGAGGAAAATGAACAGTTACGGCGGGCCAAAGAACAATATTTCATTGATAATTTTAAGCCTAAACTAAACAGATAAATGTTTTGATTTAATCAATGACTGTTAATATTGTTTTTTTTTTAAATTTATTAATTATTGATTATTATTGTGTAAATATGTATCATTTACAGTGTCAAGTCTATTTACTCTGGCGCTTTCTACAGACATTTTTTGCGCCAATTTTTAACGTTGTCCTTTAACTATGACGTCATAATAACGACGTTATCATGTCATGTTGCTATTGTTATTCAAAATCCACTGAAGAGCCGAATGGCGAAAGCGCTATGGAATAAAATGTGATCATCTTTTCCAAACTCTGGATTATTTTTCTATATGTACATACCTATACCAAGGACATCTTGAATTATAATATATGAATGCTGGTATATGAAGAAGATGACACAGACAAGAGCAAAATATACAAACAATTTGGACAACCCCTAGAGGAAATTTCAAACAAGCTATCCGTTTTGGACACCAAGGTAGGGAATTTTACGGACATTTTTCAACGACTAGAGGAAAAAATTAATTCCTTTGATTTAAAACTTGACACAATTATTAGAGATTACAACTTCAAATCAGAAGGAGGTGAATTCATCGCAGGAAATATCGACGCACAAGTATATAAAACAATTGCAGATGTTATTTCTGAGCGCCGAAATGAAATAAATTCCCAAAATGGTGTGTATCAAATAAAGAAAGAAATGCTTTCCACGTGGAATATGCTTCTTAATCAAAGGAAACAAGCATACTGGAATGCAATCCGAAGTGAACAACTTGCAAGTACTTATGAGAATTGGATACAACGGGAAACTATCATTCTCCCACTTAAGTACAGGGTAAAAAGCATTAATAATGAACCCGCTGAAGAGACAAAAATTAGGATCAATCTAGCAAAGCATAAAATGGAGGACGAAATTACATTGCTACGGATCCGAGTTCCCAAATACAAATACAAAAACAAATATGAGGAATGTGACCAGAAAATGGTAGAGATAATAACTCAACAGAACGACAGCGAAATAGAAGGAAAACTTCTTGATTTATGGAAAACAGACATTTCCCGTGAAGTGGCTAAATCAGAACAAATCTTAGAGGCTAAGCAAAAATGGCTGGAGGATTATGAGAAAAATTACGGAAATGAACCAGTAAAACACACGCAAAAACATAAGCAAAATAAACGAAAGAACTTCAACCATAAAAAATCAACTGAGCAGAAAAATGAAAATGAAAATCAGAAAACATATGCTGAGGCAGTGCGAACTCAAATAAGTAATGACCAGAATCAACAGCGGATCAAACGGAATCATTAAGGGAACACTCGGAAACACCCTATGTTCACAAGTGGAAATGCTCAATTCTCATTCAATGAACAGAGAAATCCATTACATAAAAAGAAAATACTCGAGACGGATAATTCTCATAGAGAAATTACAAACTCAGGCACCTACTTTAAACCTCAGTATAATAGTTCGAATCATTTTTTGTGGAAAGGACTGTTCCACAAAGATCGTCACAAAGTTCAAATTCAAAGGAAAAACAAGCACTAAATACGAGTTTTAGTGAGATGGACCCGAAAGTTATTAACATTTCATCACGGGATCTAAATGAATTTGAAATAAAACTTTTACAAAAGGGATTGAAGTTTACACCAACTCCTAGAAGAAATACTGCCGATCTCCTTAAAGACACTGAAGAATTTTGCCGTAAATTAAGACTGAGGGAATTCTTTGAAGACTCCAGTGATAGTGATGACATATCTCTTGTAAGAAGTAGAAGCAATTTTAAGCCAAACTCAAACAGAGATAAACATTTGGACGAATATATACAATGTCTTAAGAGTGCAGCTCAAGCAAATAACAACAACGTTCAGATAAAGGATAATATATCCAAGAAAGAACGAGACGCAATAAAAAGTCTGACAGAGGATGATTCCATTATCATTAAACAGGCAGATAAGGGAGGAGCCGTTGTCATAATGGATAAATCACATTATCAAAAAATGGCCCTTGATCAACTGAATGACCAAGAGTTCTATAGAGAACTCGCAAATTCTGAAGAAAGGAAAACAATGAGAAAATTAAGCAAATTTACATCTAAATTCTCAAGTATCCTTAATAAAAAGGAACAAGAATACCTTCTGCAATTTGAAGTTAAAAACAGTAACTTCTATGGACTTCCTAAGATTCATAAATCAGAGGAAATAAAAGACGGTATACAGGGAAGGAAATCTAACTATGTTAAATTACCACAACCGGAAGACTTAAAACTTAGACCCATTGTAGCTGGTCCATCGTGTCCTACTCAGAGACTAAGCAACTTGTTAGATATAATTCTGAAACCTCTTTGTCAGCTAGTACCAAGTTTCATCCGTGACGATATGGACTTTCTTCACCATATCCCTAAGAAAGTTGAGGAAAAAACCATTTTGGTAAGCCTTGATGTGACTAGCCTATACACAAATATACCACACACCTTGGGACTAGAGGCAATATCATTCTGGGTAGATAAACATGAAAACCAGATAGACCCTAGATTTACCAAGGATTTTATATTAGAGGGATTGCAACTAGTTCTGGAAAATAACGATTTCTTCTTTGACAACCGGTACTTTTTACAAGTAAAAGGTACCGCAATGGGCACAAAGGTAGCCCCAACTTACGCTACGCTAGTATTAGGATTCCTTGAAGAAAAGATGTACACCGAAACCGAAAAAGTTTTCGGATCGAAATTCTCCAATTATGTAAGACATCAATGGAAACGTTATCTAGACGATTGTTTTATTTTTTGGGACAAATCTGAAAGAGAATTGAAGGAATTTCACACTTTACTTAATGGATTACACGGAAATATCAGATTTACTATCGAAACCAGTCAAAGAGAACTTCCCTTTTTGGATATACTTATAATTAAGGAAAACACCAACATTTCCACAGATTTATTCTACAAGGAAACTGACAGTCACCAGTATCTTCTTTTTAATTCCTGCCACCCTTCACATACGAAGCGGAATATACCATTTAATTTGGCAAGAAGAATATGCACAATAGTTACGGACGAAAAACGTCGAACAAAAAGATTTGAAGAATTAAGTGTTTTTCTACGCCGCCAAAAATATCCAAAAAATCTTATAGCCGAAGCGATAAGAAAAGCCGAAGCAATCCCAATTACAGAACTTAGGAAAGTGAACAGAAAGAATGAATCCGATAATATGTACACAGAAATTCCATTCGTTGTCACTTATAATCCAAAAAATCACAACATCTTCAACACAACGAAACAGTGTCTGCCCATACTTCTACAATAAAAAAATTTGAACGACCTTATTGCGGAGAAGAATTTGATTTATAGTAGAAGACAACCGCCAAATTTGAAAAAAAATCCTTTCCAAAGCCAAATTCACTTCTACAAAGGAAATATTTACAGTTTCCAAATGTGACGATCCACGCTGTGGAACTTGCGATTTTATACAAAGTGGAGAATCATTCACATTCAAAACGGGAATGAATTTTAGAGTTCAACATAATATGAACTGCAAAACCAAGAACGTCATATATTGCATGACTTGCCGTGGTTGCGGAGAAAATTACATTGGTCAAACAGGGAATAAAATATCAGACCGTGTTAGAGTGCACAAACAGCAGATAAGGGACCCTTCCGTAAGAAATACTCCGTGTAGCGAACATTTTGAACAATGCGGTAAAGGACGTTTCAGTATCTTTCCGTTTTATAAAGTTACCGAGGAAAATGAACAGTTACGGCGGGCCAAAGAACAATATTTCATTGATAAATTTAAGCCTAAACTAAACAGATAAATGTTCTGATTTAATCAATGACTGTTAATATTGTTTTTTTTTTAAAATTTATTAATTATTGATTATTATTGTGTAAATATGTATCATTTACAGTGTCAAGTCTATTTACTCTGGCGCTTTCTACAGACATTTTTTGCGCCAAATTTTAACGTTGTCCTTTAACTATGACGTCATAATAACGACGTTATCATGTCATGTTGCTATTGTTATTCAAAATCCACTGAAGAGCCGAATGGCGAAAGCGCTATGGAATAAAATGTGATCATCTTTTCCAAACTCTGGATTATTTTTCTATATGTACATACCTATACCAAGGACATCTTGAATTATAAACATACGGATTTCTTAGTATTCGTATATTTATTTATTTATTTATTTGGGTTTTTTATAGAAAGAATTTAATGTCTTAAGATATTAAAAAAGGGATGGAAAGGGAAAATGAGAATGAACAAAATACTTTTAAAGTTAAAAAACAGCAGTAATTAATCTAATTTTAAACGACATGGTAAAATAACAACAAAAACTATAAATACATATTATATTAACCTGGAAAAACTTTGCTCAGTGCATTGCTCTGTGCAATGTCGCAATCGGTGACAGACACAGAAGGACTCCAACCAGCATTCCAAGATTTCAAGATGCTGAGTCCTTCTGCAATCTGTTCTTCTGTTTCATCTTCAGTGATGATTATTCCAATAGGAGTATACCCAGTGTTGGTGTGCACAACAAGCTCATACAACGGAATGTTGAACTTCGTTGTATTGAAGGTACTGTCAATAACGAGGCAATTTCCAAATTGTGCCAATAGTTCCTGCTGCCATGTTGTCTGTAGGACAATAAGAAATTTCTTCTCTTCCTCTTGACTGTAATTTAGAAGCAGTTTTATTTTTACTTCACATTTAAAGACATAACCAATTTTGTTTTAAAGCTGAATTTTTGCTTTTACTATAACCCCTCTTGAAAGCAGGGAGGGTATATAGAAATCAAGATATCCGTCCGTCTGTTATGCTTTTGGGAACCCATCTCTTATCTGCAACTCTTATCATACCTCTGAATGAAATTTGATGAGACTTTCAGGGAATACTTTTTACATATTTCTATTGTGTGCCTCCTATTTCATTTTTTGATCCGACACATATTTGTGGTCTTCCTTAGTATAACATGTCCACTGTCATTATACTCATATAGGAAATGGGGTATCATTTAGTGAGCTCATTGCAGTACCTCTGGTTTGTATTCCAAAATGTCTTAATGCTTTTATAATTGCCTAAATTATTTCAACAATGAATATATTTCTTTAAGTTTAAAAAAATTCTTTACTTTGTATGATTGTGATTTTTGGTGCCTTATTAATATTCTAAAACAAAACAAACCTATGAGCTTGAAAATGGTATTGAAAAGTCCCAGGTGGTTTCTCATTTTTGCACAAATATGCCAAGTGTTTACTGACGTTCTCTTGTTCTTCAGTTGAATATCTACAAAACATTTGAGATGAAGAATTGCATGTTAACTTTGACAAAAACCCACCCATCTTGCCGTTCCCCCTCCTAAATGCACACCTTCTCTCTCTCCCTCTTACATACATACACTCACAATTGCACACACACTCTCACAAACACAACCTTTGAGGCTAAATGTGGATTTCTAACAATATTTTTTTAACTTAGAAAGGGTCTCTTAACTTGTGTTTATTACTGCATTTTTCTCGACACAGTAATATAGAATCTGTTTATTTCTTATTTTCATTCATGTGAGGTATTTGTTGGTGTTGGTGTTTGGTGTGAGGTGTTGTTTTTCCGTATGATGTACTTGCTAAAAGCTTTGATGACTAAACCGAAATTGAATTTCAATATAATAATCCAAATTATCGATTTTGTTAGCTCTTCAAACAAGAGTAAAAGTAAATGCATATTACTAATAACACAATTAAACAAAAACTAATTTCAATGGGGTAAGTTTGTTATGTGTATGCAATTAAAGACACTTTGAAACTTTTACCGATCATTATTAGGATATAGTCACTAGTATAAGAAGGATAAGGTGACAACGAACAGTATTCAATCTCAAAGTCCATTATATGAATCTAAAAGTCTATTATATAAATATAATAGAAGATGAGTGAATATTGTTAGCCGAAGGCTCAAGTGAGCTTTTCTGATTACATTTTGTCCGTCGTCCGTCTGTCTGTCTGTCCGTCTCTCCGTCTGTAAACTTTTCACATTTTCGATTTCTTCTCAAGAACCACTGGTCTTATTTTGACCAAACTTGGTACAAAGCATCCTTGGGTGAAGGAAAATCTAAATTGTTAAAATGAAGGGACATATCCCCTCGCAAGGGGAGATAATCAAGAAAAGACAAAAATAGGGTTGGATCATTAAAAAAATCTTCTTCTCAAGAACCACTGGGCCAGAAAAGCTGAAACTTATGTGGAAGCATCCTGGTATAGTGTAGATTCTAAATTCTTCACATCATGACCCCCGGGGGAAGGGCGGGGCCACAATGGGGAATCAAAATTTTATATAGAAATATATAGGAAAAATCTTTGAAAATCTTCTCAAGAACCACTGGGCCAGAAAAGCTGAAACTTATGTGGAAGCATCCTGGTATAGTGTAGATTCTAAATTTTAGGAATCATGACCCCCGGGGGAAGGGCGGAGCCACAATGGGGTATCAAAATTTTACAAAGAAATATATAGGAAAAATCTTTGAAAATCTTCTTCTCAAGAACCACTGGGCCAGAAAAGCTGAAACTTATGTGGAAGCATCCTGGTATAATGTAGATTCTAAATTGTTCACATCATGACCCCCGGGGGAAGGGCGGGGCCACAATGGGGAATCAAAGTTTTATATAGAAATATATAGGAAAAATCTTTGAAAATCTTCTCAAGAACCACTGGGCCAGAAAAAGTGAAGCTTATGTGGAAGCATTCTTGGGTAGTGTAAATTCTAAATTGTAGGAATCATGACCCCCGGGGAAGGGTGGGGCCATTATAGGGAATCAAAGTTTTACATAGAAATATATAGGAAAAATCTTTGAAAATCTTCTTCTCAGGAACCACTGGGCCAAAGAAGCTGAAACATATGTGCCCATGGAAAGTTCATGGGGTAGTGTAGATTTCAAAATGTCTAAATTATTATCAGTGGGGTAGGGTGGGGATACATTATGTATAACAAGGGGGAAATCTGGTAAAGAACAGAATGGTCAAAGCTTCTCAGGTGAGCGATGTGGCCCATGGGCCTCTTGTTATACTTGGCATATAGTGGAGTAGAGAGAAAGAGATATTAAGCTTAATTTGTTAATAAGACATTTAAATATAGGGCAAAATACAAGTTATATCTTCACCTGTTTTTTGCGATAGCAAGCTGAATATGATTATAGACAGTTTTGTTGGAGGGAAAATACTGTTGATTAAATGTTGAAGGCCTTTTCTTCAATGGCAATCTTTTTACATGAATACGCAATTCTCGTTGCACACAGGGTACTTGTGTTACACCCGAAGAGGCCAACTCATGAATCTTCTTTGACACATCCTTCGAAATATTTCTGGTGACACCTGAAATCTGTACATTTACATTGTATTACCATATAAGTGTTGTTACTGTTTCGCTCTTAGAACTGGGGTTCGAATTTACCTCAACTGAGTCGAAGGCTAAATAGAGCTTTACTGATAAAATGATGCCAATCCTCCATCTGGCGTCCATAGTCTATAGCCAGTAAACATTTTTTTTCTATGACATTTTCGACTTAAAGCTGAACACGATTCGTAAAAGTAATGTGTCCGCCATTTTGCCCCCGATTCTTGCCACTCTGCAGACACATATATAAAGGGCAAAACTTGGTTACTGTTCAGTGTAATCAGTTGACATCGGTGTAGACGGACGTATGCTATACAGGACTCAGTAGCGAGAATAATAACGTAATACTTCGTCTAATGCAGGAAAGTAAGATACTAGTACCAAATAAATTTACACTTATAGTAGTATAGGTCATTGCAGTATACAAACAACACAGATACACATAACTGCAATAAAATGTAAACTACGGTAATGCAAGATAATCAGCACGAACACAGGTAGCCATTCCACGCCGATACCCGTGGCAATAAAGCAGTACTAGTCAGGTGTAACGAATGCGAGGAGTATACCCTAGTGTTGACGTGTCGTAGACAATGATGTCGAAAATGGCGTATGCCTATTTACGAGTCGTGTTCAGCTTGTGAGTAGCAATGACCAGTGTTTTATTTCCATTGCATTAAAAATGATTTAGTGGAGTAAAAATATATAATTGTGAGTAGAACGGCCAACCATAGTCGTCAAATCAGTGTATAAATTATGGACTTGCAAAGTAGTATGAAAAACGTCGGTCAGCATTTGACTCAATGATAAATTGGATTTTCTGACAAGGTCATTGTATCCACAAAAGAACTTATGATATGATGACTTTAAACGAGACTGTTTATATTCTTGTTTCATCAACTTGTCTGTCATTAACTTACATCGTTTAATGAACTGTTCGTACGTAGAGCATGCTCTTGCGTATCGAATCAACTGAGATATATAAACACCTTATGCAGGTGTTGAAGGTATATTAATACATAAGTAAGGAAGTTGACGATAGAAAGATAAATACATGAGATAAATGTTTTCCAGTTTTCTTCTGCTTAGAAACAGTAATACCATTACAATAAATAATGATAAACAAGAAATTCATGTGAGCAAATGGGCTTTTGATATTGTCTCTGGGATTATAGAAAGAAATATTACTTCTCCACTTATGTGATTAGAGTGCTGGTTTCTCTGTCGAAGAATAAATAATCTTCGTTTGGACTCCTCATGTTTGCCAGCTTTTATAGCCTTCGACAAATTTTGTCTTCTTTTTCTGGATGTTGGCTCCTGTAATGTGCGTTTAAAATGAATGATAAGAACATTTAGGGTAGTTAAGGAGTCTTGTCAATCCCAAACTTCCTTTTATCAGTTCTATTATTTATTTTACACAGGAAAGTACAATAAATTTACGATTGTGTCCTCTCAACTGACCTGCTGCACTTCAAATGCCAATACTTCTTGCATTATAACCTTACAGGGACAACCTTGCTTCTTAGTTTCTTGTCTTTTTTTTCGTCTGTTCTTATAGTTGTGATCAGTCAATGTCTAGGGGATAAATCATGATAAATGACGATAACTTTCTTATATAATATTTTTCATAATCTTCAGAAATCAAAATTATTCTTATTTTGCCTAATGATGTAATGCACGTTGTACATTTATGTTTTATTCTTACATATTAAAATATGGAGAAAAGCAACAGTTTTCAAGCTGAAAATTCCATTCCAGGCTGACCGATCACACCCATCATATGCTCTTTCCAATGATCGAGGAAAACGGTCAGGAATGTCGTTATAAAATGTAGTTGTTAATAATGGTTTAATAATTAATTTGAAAAAGTCCATCAGCATTTTAATTATGTCTAAAATGTACTTTGAAATATGACAATCATAATTTGACTTCATGAAATATTGCATTTGCTGACAATGTGGAATTATCGACCATGGAACTTGCGAAATGATAACTTTAAACAAAACAGTTCTTATTATTGCTTCATCGGTATGTTTGTCAATAGCTTGCATTATTTTATAAATTGTTCATAGGTGGAATGTGTCCTTTAATAGTTAATTAAACGTGAGAGACACTCTGTCCAACTGCACTTGACTATGGTTTATTTATAGATAAGTTGTTAACGATTATAAAGTTTAAGCCATATCGTTTATGAGAAAGATGTATTGATAGTTTACCATTAACACTTTTCAGTTTTAATATTTCCAAATATGAAACAAATGTGTCAGACTCTTTTGTATCTTATGTCTCAAAAACACTGGGGAATACAGTGTCCACAAATGATTAAAAGTTGATTTCTGATTCTAATTCAAAAATATAAGAGAACATATATCTTCTGTAACCTGTAATCTGTAATTATCGGTAAACTCGGACTTGAAAAGAAATAATAATATTGCTATTAATTTTCCTTGATTACGTTTGTTTGTTGTCTTCCTTTCCTTTTATCTCCATGGATACAAGCTAGATCCCATGACCCAATCACAATGAAAGGGGTGTTGGCTGCCAGAGGTCCAGTAACATTACTGTTCCCAGAGAACCATATCCTACTTCTTCTTAGATCATCTGGAAAATCTAATACATGGAAAATTTGGTAATATACCATCTTCGTTTAAAGGCAACAAACATGTTTAAGTAGCCACATTCATATCTATGAATCATACATATATTTATATAAACTTGCAATGGCCTGAAGTTCCCTTCCTAGATCATCATATAATTATGCAATAGCGTGAATTCCCATTGCTATATAAAAAAATAGATGTGCAATGACTTGAAGTAACCCGCTTAGATAATCATATAAATGTGCGATGGCGTGAAGTCCCCTTGCTAGATAATCATTTAAATGTGCAATATCGTGGAGTCACCTCCTAGATAATCATATAAACATGCAATGTCGTGAAGTCACCCTCCTGGATAATCATAGAAACGTGCAATATCGTGAAATGAATTCTAGATAATCGTGAAAACGTGCAATGTCGTGAGTTCAGCCTCCTAGATAATCATATAAACGTGCAATATCGTGAAGTAACCCTCCTAGATAATCATATAAACATGCAATGCCGTGAATTCACCCTCCTAGATAATCATATAAACGTGCAATGTCGTGAAGTCACCCTCCTAGATAATCGTATAAACGTGCAATATCCTGAAGTCACCCTCCTAGATAATCATATAAATATGCAATGGCGTGAATTCAACATCCTATTCAATCATACAAAAGTGCAATGGCGTGAAGTCACCCTCCTAGATAATAAAAAAAAATGTGCAATGTTGTGATGTCACCCTCCTAGATAATCATATAAACATGCAATGTTGTGAAGTCACCCTCCTAAATAATCATATTAACCTGCAATGTTGTGAAGTCACCCTCCTAGACACTTATATAAACATGCAATGGGGTGAAGTCACCTTGCTAGATAATCGTATAAACATGCAATGGCGTGAAATCACCCTCCTAGAAAATCATAAAAACATACAATGTTGTGAAATCACCCTTCTAGTTAACCATATAAACATGCAATGTTATGAAGTCACCCTTCTAGATAATCATATAAACATGCAATGTCGTGAGGTCACCCTCCTAGATAATCATATAAACGTGCAATGTAGTGAGGTCACCCTCCTAGATAATCATATAAAAGTGTAATGGCGTGAAATCACTTTGCTTTATAATCATATAAACATGCAATGTCGTGAGGGCACCCTCCTAGACCATCATATAAACATGCAATGTTGTGAAGTCACCCTTCTAGATAATCATATAAACATGCAATGGCGTGAAGTCATCCTCCTAGGTAATCATATACAAGTGCAATGGTGTGAAGTCACCCTCCTATATTATCATAGAAACATGCAATGGCGTGAAGTCACCTTGCCTTATAATCATACAAACATGCAATGGCGTGAGGTCACCCTCTTAAATAATCATATAAGCGTACAATGGCTTGAAGTCACCCTCGTAGATAATCATATAAACGTGCAATGTCGTGAAGTCACATCCTAGATAATCATATAAACATGCAATGGTGTGAAGTAACCCTCCTAGATAATCATATAAATGTGCAATGGCGTGAATTCACCCTCCTAGTTAATCATACACACGTGCAATGGCGTGAAGTCACCCTTTTAGATAATCAAAGAAATGTGCAATGTTGTGATGTCACCCTCCTAGATAATCATATTAACCTGCAATGTTGTGAAGTCACCCTCCTAGACACTAATATAAACATGCAATAGGGTGAAGTCACTTTTCTAGATAATCACATAAACATGCAATGTCGTGAAGTCACCCTCCTAAATAATCATATAATCGTGCAATATCGTGAATTCACCCTCCTAGATAATTATATAAACATGCAATGGCATGAAGTCACCTTGCTTTATAATCGTATAAACATACAATGTCGTGAAGTCATCCTCCTAGATAATCATATAAACATGCAATGGCATGAAGTCACCCTCCTAAATAATCATATAAACATGTAATTTCGTGAAGTCATCTTCAAAGATAATCATATAAATATGCAATGGCGTGAAGTCACCCTCCTAGATTATCATATAAACGTGCAATGGCGTGAAGTCACCCTCCTAGATAATCATTTAAATATGCAATGGCGTGAATTCACCCTCCTAGTTAATCATACAAAAGTGCAATGGCGTGAAGTCACCCTCCTAAATAATCATATAAATGTGCAATGTTGTGATGTCACCCTCCTAGATAATCATATAAACATGCAATGTTGTGAAGTAACCCTCCTAGATAATCATATTAACCTGCAATGTTGTGAAGTCACCCTCCTAGACACGTATATAAACATGCAATGGGGTGAAGTCACCTTGCTAGAAAATCATATAAACATGCAATGGCGTGAAGTCACCCTCCTACATAATCGTATAAACATACAATGTCATGAAGTCACCCTCCTAGAAAATCAAATAAACATGCAATGGCGTGAAGTCACCCTCCTAAATAATCATATAAACATGTAATGTCGTGATGTCACCCTCCTAGATAATCATATTAACATGCAATATTGTGAAGTCACCCTTCTAGATAATCATATAAACATGCAATGTTGTGAAGTAACCCTCCTAGATAATCATATTAACCAGTAATGTTGTGAAGTCACCCTCCTAGACACTAATATAAACATGCAATGGGGTGAAGCCACCTTGATAGATAATCATATAAACATGCAATGGCGTGAAGTCACCCTCCTAAATAATCATATAAACATGTAATGTCGTGATGTCACCCTCCTAGATAATCATATAAACATGCAATATTGTGAAGTCACCCTTCTAGATAATCATATAAACATGCAATGTTGTGAAGTAACCCTCCTAGATAATCATATTAACCAGTAATGTTGTGAAGTCACCCTCCTAGACACTAATATAAACATGCAATGGGGTGAAGCCACCTTGCTAGATAATCATATAAACATGCAATGGTGTGAAGTCACCCTCCTAGATAATCATATTAACCTGCAATGTTGTGAAGTCACCCTCCTAGACACGTATATAAACATGCAATAGGGTGAAGTCACCTTGCTAGAAAATAAAATAAACATGCAATGGCGTGAAGTCACCCTCCTAGATAATCATAAAAACATACAATGTTGTGAAGTCACCTCCTACATAATCGTATAAACATACAATGTCGTGAAGTCACCCTCCTAGATAATCAAATAAACATGCAATGGCGTGAAGTCACCCTCCTAGATAATCATATTAACCTGCAATGTTGTTAAGTCACCCTCCTAGACACTAATATAAAAATGCAATGGGGTGAAGTCTCCTTGCTAGATAATCATATAAACATGCAATGGTGTGAAGTCACCCTCCTAGATAATCATAAAAACATACAATGTTGTGAAGTCACCCTCCTACATAATCGTATAAACATGTAATGTCATGAAGTCACCCTCCTAGATAATCATATAAACATGCAATGGTGTGAAGTCACCCTCCTAGATAATCATATTAATGTGCAATATCGTGAAGTCACCCTCCTAGATAATTATATGAACATGCAATGGCTTAAAGTCACCCTCCTACCTAATCGTATAAATATACAATGTCGTGAAGTTACCCTCCTAAATAATCATATAAACATGTAATATAGTGAAGTCACCTTCCTAGATTATCATTTAAACGTGAAATGGCGTGAAGTCACCCTGCTAGATAATCATATATAATATGCAATGGCGTGAATTCACCCTCCTAGTTAATCATACAAACGTGCAATGGCTTGAAGTCACCCTCCTAAATAATCACATAAATATGCAATGGCGTGAAGTCACCCTCCTAAATTATCATATAAACGTGCAATGGCGTGAAGTCACCCTCCTAGATAATCATTTAAATATGCAATGGCGTGAAGTCACCCTCCTAGTTAATCATACAAACGTGCAATGGCTTGAAGTCACCCTCGTAGATAATCAAAGAAATGTGCAATGTTGTGATGTTACCTTCCTAGATAATCATATAAACATGCAATGTTGTGAAGTCACCCTTCTAGACAATCATATAAACATGCAATGTTGTGAAGTCACCCTCCTAGAAAATCATATTAACCTGCAATGTTGTGAAGTCACCCTCCTAGACACTAATATAAACATGCAATGGGGTGAAGTCACCTTGCTAGATAGTCATATAAACATGCAAGGGCGTGAAGTCACCCTCCTAGATAATCATAAAAACAAACAATGTTGTGAAGTCAACCTTCTAGATAATCATATAAACGTGGAATATCGTGATGTCACCCACCTAGATAATTATATAAACATGCAATGGCTTGAAGTCACCCTCCAAAATAATCATATAAACATGCAATGGCGTGAAGTCACCCTCCAAAATAATCATATAAACATGTAATGTCGTGAAGTCATCTTCCTAGATAATCATATAAATATGCAATGGCGTGAAGTCACCCTCCTAAATTATCATATAAACGTGCAATGGCGTGAAATCACCCTCGTAGATAATCATATAAATATGCAATGTTGTAAAGTCACCCTCCTAGATAATCATATTAACCTGCAATGTTGTGAAGTCACCCTCCCAGACACTTATATAAACATGCAATGGGGTGAAGTCTCCTTGCTAGATAATCATATAAACATGCAATGGTGTGAAGTCACCCTCCTAGATAATCATAAAAACATACAATGTTGTGAAGTCACCCTCCTACATATTCGTATAAACATGTAATGTCGTGAAGTCACCTTCCTAGATAATCATATAAACATGCATTGGTGTGAAGTCACCCTCCTAGATAATCATATTAATGTGCAATATCGTGAAGTCACCCTCCTAGATAATTATATGAACATGAAATGGCTTGAAGTCACCCTCCTACCTAATCGTATAAATATACAATGTCGTGAAGTCACCCTCCTAAATAATCATATAAACATGCAATGGCGTGAAGTCACCCTCCTAAATAATCATATAAACATGTAATATAGTGAAGTCACCTTCCTAGATTATCATTTAAACGTGAAATGGCGTGAAGTCACCCTGCTAGATAATCATATAAATATGCAATGGCGTGAATTCACCCTCCT